GGCATACCCATGCTCTTCATCATGCACCGAGCCATCTCCACCACGATCTGATTCTGGTGTTCGACGACTTCGTTTTGCTGCATAGAGTATGTGCAGCAGTGAAGTACTTGATGTTGTTCAGCTCTCAGTACTCCTTGAACTCTGTGGACTTGAATTCGCCGCCGCGGTCCGATCTGAACACGTGCAGTCTGCACTTGCCGCCGGCTTCGGCCATCGCCTGGCCTTTCTTGAAGCGTGGGTATGCCTCGTCTTTGGACTTCAAGAGCTCTAGCCACATATAGTGATTGTGATCGTCAGCCACAAGTAGGAAATACTTGTTACCTCTCGGAGTCGTCGGTCTGATCGGCCCGCACAGGTCCTTGTGCACGAGCTCCAAGACGCGCTTGGCTCAGTACGCCGGGGCATGTGGGAACGGTGCGCCATGTCGTATCCCAAGGGCGCAGCCGTCGCTGTACTCCTCCACGCGATCAATTACGGGCATGCCGCGCACAAGCTGCTTGGTGGACATGGTGCGGAGTGCGTGGAAGTGGAGATGCCCCATGCGTGCGTGCCACTGCCAGGTTGCGTCGTCTCCTTCCGCCATCAGGCACGCCGACGGGTCGATTGTGAGGACGCCAGTGTACAGCTGGTTATCGTATTGCTTGATGCGCGCCAGGACGCGCCACGCCGGATCATGGACAGCCATGACGCCGTCCGCGATGCTGATGGTGCAGCCTGCCCCATCCAACTGTCCAATGGAGACGATGTTGGTTCATAGACTGGGAATGTAGAAGACGTCGGTGAGACGTGCACTGGTCCCCGCTCTAACAGCGGAATACCATGCTGCCCCGTCCACGTATGGCCACAACAGAGCCATCCCCAAACTTCACCGTACCGTGCACAGTGTCATCAAGCAACGAGAAGACATGTCTGTCGCCCGTCATATGACTGCTGGCCACGGTGTCAAAGAACCACATACCGTCTAGCGAGGGCACAGGCATGACCTTCTCCTCGTTGAGGTACACCTCTTGAGGCGCCACGAGCTGCGTCGTGTCGACATTGGTGACCACGGCCATGTACAGACCCTGATCGTGCTCGGTGCCGACTTGTACAAGATTTGTCTGGTCCTATTTGCCCTTCTCGTCCTCGTCGTTGAGCCAAGTCTGGCACTCCTTTTTCCAGTGCCCCGGCTTGTTGCAGTAGTGGCACTTGCCCTTTTAGTCCTCATCCTTGAGCCGAGTCCGCGCTCCTTTTTCCAGTACCCTGGCTTGTTGCAGTAATGACACTTTCCCTTCTTCTTCCTGTCGGAGCCGCACGCGCCCGCGCTCCCCAGCATGGGCTTGTTGTCGCCCTGAGGCTTGTACTTGCCCGGCGACTTGTTCTTACCACTACCGCCGCCGGATGATGACCCGCCAACCCCGTGCTACCGCTCGCATGTGGCCCACTCTGCGGCGGTGTACATGAGGCGCACACCGGACTGCACCGTGTCGTCGAGGTTGTAGTGGTATTCATGCCGACAGACGCCCTGTCAGCTCCTCGATCGACATGTTTTTCAGATCGATATTGGTACTTGTGCGGCACGACGCGGAGAAACTTCTGGACGGCCTTGTGCTTCGTCACGGGATCGCCATACGGCTCGAGGTTGGTGACGAGGCTGGAGAACCGCAGCACGAAATCCTCGACGGACTCGCCGTCCTTTAAGCGGAGCTCCTCGAATTCTCAATGGTGAACCCGCGCGTTGGCCTCACGGGTGTGCTCGCTCCCCATCCGGAGCGCCTTGATCATCTCCCAGGCCGTTTTGGCCGTGTCCTTGGTGGCCAGGACCCGGAGCAGCTTCAGCGGCACGCCGGTGAGGATGATCTGAAGTGCACGCCTGTCGTCGCTGTCCTCGGCGGTGCCATTAGTCACCGCAGATCAAACGCCCGCGAGCTGTAGCTTGACCTGCATCACAAGAGCCCACTCCATGTAGTTTGTGCGGGTGAGGACCATATTGTTGGCGAAGAGGTCTCGCTCTCCGGCACTTCTCTCTCGACGATGCCTCCTCAGCCAATGCGAAGAGGACTGTGGTCTGCGTTCCGTCCCCCTTCTTCTTTCCGTCTGACTCGTCGCCCGACATGTGTGCCGTGGATCAAACACCGCCGGCCACCAGAGAGTGGATCAAACACCTCGCTCGGATGCCCATTGTCGTTGTCGATCGGGCCAGAGAGGGAGAGAGGGAGACTCAAACACGATGAACTCGAGCTTGAGAGAGTGGGAGCTTTTGTGTTGCTAATATTTCACAGCGTTTTCTGTTCTCATTCCTCTCTGCATACATGTTGGCGTTTACAACGAACAATAAAGAAGCTAATTACCTCCCGGCGGGCACACCATGCATGATCCGAGACGACCGCGCCATCCCATGGCCACATCTCACAGCGCATGCGCCCACTGGGAGAGAAAAAGGGAACAACGTGATCGGTGCATGCCAGGCACCCGACCCCCTAGCTACGTGCATGTCCAGATCACATCACCCTTCATGCATTATTTGCTACTCCCTTCGTTCCTAAATATAAGTCTTTGTAGACATTTCACTATGAACCACATACGGATGTATATAGATGCGTTTTAGAGTATAATTCACTCATTTTGCTCCATATGTAGTCCATAGTGAAATCTTTCCAAAGACTTATATTTAGGAACGTAGGGAGTAAAACAAAAAACTACTCTACGTGACATGAGCTTATCAGGTCTAACACCAGCAACAAGACATGGTTCGCAGACATGAGCATTCAGAGAGACCCCATCTTCGGCGGCCACCTGTCCCTTACGCCATTGTTCATAGATGATTGTACCGCTTCCTGGCTCGTCAACATGGCAGCCTACGAGGCCTGCATGGCTACCGGATTTCCATCAGACAACTTTTTCATCAGCTTGTACATCTCCCTCCTGGCAATGCTCATGGACAAGGAAGAGGATGTGCATGAGCAGCGAGCGAAGCACCTCGTTCGCAGCTTCTTCAGCAACCATGAGCTGCTCGTTTTCCTCAAGGGCCTCGCTCGCCACCTGCGCCTCGGCAACCGCTACTTTGTCATCACTGAGAAGATTGATACGTACAAGCGTGAAAAGCCTATGAGCATCGTCGGGTATAGTTTCGCCTACAACAACAGCAGAGTCATCAGAGTCATGGCTGCCTTGCTCTCTATAGGTAGCGTGCTCGCAGGTACCTTCAGAACCTTGATGAGTCTCAAGCAGCATCAGCCGTAGCAGTTCGAACGAACAATGTGCATTTGATAAACTGATTTCTGATTAGTCTACAAATCGTGCTTATTGCGGTGTGATCGACGTCATACAGTTTCCGTGTGTAAAATTATACCATCACATCCACCTTGGTTTGATCCCTTGTTAGATTTATATTACATGGTGTGATTTTTCTGATCACAGTACAGGTATAATGTATAACCAGTATGTATACCTCTACTTGTGCTATCTTTATAAATCTGTCTAGTCAAGGGCCAACCCCTTCCCTTTGATCTTCTTACTAGTTAGGTGTATCAAATGTACCTGAATTTTGTGTCGCTAGTTGTTTGTACCTGAAGTTTGTATCATCAGTGGTTATTCAAGATAGATATCGTCAGCTTCCAAGCCCAGCGCATTCCTTTTCTTGATAAAAGCTAGCGCATTCATGTTTGATTATCTAGCTTCCTAGGCCAGCGCCTTCCTATTCTCTTAGTTATCTCTGCCTTTTCTAATTGGAGATGTCGAAACATCAGACTGAATGAATGAATCCCTAAGAAAATTAGAATAGAAGATGCTTGCAGCTGTGAAGAGGAGGAACAAGAAAACAGAGGAAAGCTTATTAAGAGCAGAGTAGTAATGTGCCAAAGGTTGGTCCAATCCAGTAACGAGTAGTATTTTCTAGATTTTAGTTTGGGTCTGAGACTGAGTGTAAATTCGGATAAAACTGTAACTTTCCTATGGTTTAGGAGTCAAAAAATTTCTGTGCCAATGTTCGCTCAAAGTTTCCTTTGAAACGCCAAACTTCCAAGGCTGGTGGTTTTGCCTGTTTACCAAAAGGTACGCTGGCTTAGAAGACTGGCAGTCACAGATACAAGCATCATAGACATGCAAATCAAGTGGCAGTCCTTTTGTTTGAGGAGGGCGTATCCCTATCCCTGACAAGGAGGTGACTGAGGCCCTGTTTGGTTCATAAGTCCTAGGACTTTTTTTAGTCCCAACTTATAAGTTCCAAGTCCCTAAAAAGTCCCTACGTGTTTGGTTCCTGGGCTTATAAGTTCCTATAAGACCATATTACAACTATAAGTCTCTATAAGTCCCTCCTTGAGAGTCTTATTTCATAAGTCCCAAATGCCCATTTTAAGTCCCTATAAGTCCCTCCTGTTTGGTTTAGATGGGACTTATAGGGACTTTTTTAAGTCCCTAAGCCAATAAGTCCCTAGAAACAAACACCCTCTGAGCTCACGCGGTTTTGATGAAGCCGCAGCAATCACCATAGAGAGGGATAAAAGGCTTCAAATCAGAGAGATTTTTATTAGTCAGGATCCGTTTTGAGCTACATACGACCATCTAGTCGCTACACTCTACTAGAAGAACCCAATGAGATCCCAATCATTTCAGCACGATCTCAAAACAAAATGCAATGTCTGACGATCTCAAAACAAGACAACAATTGTTTGTGTAATGCAAGGGCGGATGTGACTCTGGCATAAAAGGGCACCACACAAACACAAACACACACAGTTTCTGTCATTCAAGCTCCGCAACTTAATATTGACAC